AGGCCACGCTGCTGGTCGACTGCCACCCTCTGTACCGCCGCCTCATCCCACCGCCCGACCGCAACTTCTCCCAGCCACAACTCGCGCTTTGGGTGGGACAGAGAAATAGCAAGCATTCCCTTTTCAAGGTAGGGAAAACTAATCTAAATGTTTGATTCAATAGGATTCGTCAGATATTAGAATGCCTATGCTTTTCATAATTCAGGGTACTCTTCAAGAAGTGAGATTAGTGAGTGGACCTCACGGATACTTGGTTCAATGTCCGGGACTGGATTCAGAATGCCCCACGTGTGGACAATTCGCCTTACTGCAAGCAACTGTGCAAGAGCTTACGTCGCACATCCATGACCTTTCACTTAAGGTAAGATTTCCAGTTCAAATTATATAACTTTTACTCTTGTAAGAGAAACGACAATATTGCAAAATCAATAATATTGCAGTTGGTTGGTGCCGAGGCCAGACTGGCACGGTTAGAGCAATGCGATTGTCAGAAGTCTTGTTACTCCAACGGTACGGTCCACGCCGATGGCGCCACGTGGCAAAGAGACTGTAATCGTTGCTCCTGCGTGGTAAGTTCCTGTCTTTCTCAGAATTTCTACAAATGGTATCGTGCAGATTTTACTAATTCTATATAATATTCTATTTTGTGTTTACAGCACGGCGAAATAACGTGCAGGCCTGTAGAGTGTGATAGAGTAGAATGTAAGAATCCAGTCCTGCATCCAGGAGAATGTTGTCCTACGTGTTTAAGTTAGTATTTCTTTACACAAAATTAGAAATTTAAATTACGTAGATTTTTTTGTATGTACACCTATTGATTTACCATCAGGTAAATGTAATGTACTTAAAAAAATTGTAATTGGAATTTTCCTTAAAAAAAATTGTCTGTAAAATTGAATTTAAGTCTATGTACAATAATTCCAGGACGGTGCCTGCTACAAGGCGAGCTGTACGAGCACGGCGACCGGTACGCGCCGAAGGAGTGCGCGGAGTGCGTGTGCCACGACGGCAACATGCAGTGCACGCGCACCGACCCCGACACCGCCTGCCCGCCGCTGCCCTGCGACCCCGCCGACCAGTTCACCGTGCCCGGCGAGTGCTGCAAGTTCTGCCCGGGTACAGCTTCCATATTCATATCATCATTAAATCATCGCAGGACTTCTTCGCGACACAAACTCATCGTCATGATCGTATAATAACATAAGAGTCTATTCTTCTTTTATTCAATGACCACGACCATTCCATCAAATCTCATACGAATCATCATAACTATTTTCAGGTGTGGACTACTGCAGTATGGGTCACTCTTGTGACGAGAACGCAACGTGTATGAATCTCAATACAAAGTATACTTGCAAATGTAATCAGGGATTTCGTGGAGATGGACTTACTTGTGAAGGTGAGCAACGAAACTTGTTACAAAACCCTCATTAATCAAATAAGTTGCGAGTTTTCGAATTTAGAATTCGAATTTAAAAATTGATATACATGTGGATATGTGACTAATCACAAGAGACTAATCTCTTGACGTTAGTTTTTTGTTGTTTCAAATTACAGACACCTTCATTTGAAATATGTTTCTAGATGTGGACGAGTGCCAGGAGGCGGGCGGCCGCTTCGGCCACCACTGCCACTCGTTCACGCGCTGCGTCAACGTGGTCGGCGGCTACGTATGCCAGTGCCTGCCCGGCTACACCAGGCGGGACAAGTTCAACTGTGTTGAGGTTCGCGTTAACAGACATTATTTATGTAATATGATATAAGGACGCCAAACAAAACATTTATCTTAATCGCATCATGTGCGACAGGTCGACGAGTGCCTGGGCTCGGCGCACGGCTGCCACGCGCACGCCGAGTGCACCAACACGCCCGGCTCCTACACCT